AGGAGTTCAAAGATGATTATGAATATTCCAAGATGGTTGTGTTCGAAGGTTCGTTCGCTAGCCAGGAGTTCAAAGATGGTTATGAATATTCCAAGATGGTTGTGTTCGAAGGTTCGTTCGCTAGCCAGGAGTTCAAAGATAGTTATGGTGGCATTCAAACATTGTCATACTTCTATTTGTTGCTTGTTAGCTCTTTCTATATGGGTCACAGGTGAAAGGCCATGTCATCTCGTTTGTTGACTCACATTCAAAAATTTTATTGAACTACTATTTCATGAATTTATGTCAATAAGTTTGATATCAAACTGTAGATTATAATTTAAGTTTTAGAACTATACATTACTCAATTTCTTAATGTAAAAGCAAATATTAAAAAACACAGATAAACATCGATTTTTGTGTGTCACGTGTTATGTTGAATGCAGCACTGGTTCAAATTAGGTGTTTGTTTAGTCAAAATACTAAGTCTACAGTTTCATACGAATTAGAAACTCAAATTACTGATATTGACAAGCTAGAATATAAAATAAGAAGGTCTTATCTTTTCTATTTGCTACAGACATTTAGTATAGGAAGTGTAACTTGTGTTTCTGTCTATGTACGTGGGCACTTAACTCCTAGATCAGCTTTCATTTTCAGAACACCTACACTGGCATGTGTCACTAACCTTTGGTAGATTTATAACTTTGTCTGACAGTTCATAAATAACAAGTGGCTCCTTATTTAGTTATTTGTAGTATATGAATAGTAGACTTAGGATTGGAGCGTGAAGTTCTGCCGGTACTCACTGGTACTGAGAACCAGAACTTATTTTTTAAGGTGGTACTAGAACCGGGACTTATTTTAACCGTGATTAGTGGAGAACTACATAAACCTAACTTTCTTGATTGAAAGAAGTTAGCTAAGTATGAACTGTATTTCTAATAGAGAAGTCCTCTTCATGATTACTGGAGAACTACATAAACCTAACTTTCTTGATTGAAACAAGTTAGCTAAGTATGAACTGTATTTCTAACAGAGAAGTTCTCTTCATGATTACTGGAGAACTACATAAACCTAACTTTCTTGATTGAAACAAGTTAGCCAAGTATGAACTGTATTTCTAACAGAGAAGTCCTCTTCATGATTAGTGGAGAACTACATAAACCTAACTTTCTTGATTGAAACAAGTCGTAGATATTTGGGAAGCAATTGATAAAAAAGTCAGAAATTTATGAATAAAGTTAACAAAACTTTGGCATTTTTGTTTTTCAATTTTGTGCTGAAACTTTATTTATGTTTCTCACTTAAGCACTTGCTGTTAACACATTGTTTCTACGTAGTTTTATGACCAGGAAGGTTTTAATTTCGTTTAAGGTCGAACTAGAGTTATGCAAGAAAGTATTGCAACATTGACAACAGTCTTATTGGTGCTTCCCTACATAGGTTAGAATAAAGGTAGGTTCTTATTTCATAAAGTGTTAGGTGTGACTGAAAAGTTTTGTAGTAATCCCTCTGCAAGAATGAGAAACCTTGACATTCTTGACTGCTCTGGGATACATATTGTTGCTTAAACGGATTTATTGTAAAGAACATTGCTATCCTTATCCAGAAAAGGTTGGCTTCTGGCAACGTATCAACTAAAACTTGTTTAGAATTCTAACAACTCCCATTACGACATCAAACAGCCAGGTCTTGTGACTCAGATCAGGCTTAAGTATTCTACTTTCTCTTATCCCATGGCACAAACGAAACCTAACTGGTTTAGTGTTTGTTACAAAGAAAATACTTTTTTCTATTTGTCTGTGGATTAATACAGACGAGGACTGTAGTTTCAGAACAACAATAAAAGTGAATTCACAGATTACTCAGATATGGAACAGACATATGTGTCTTATATATACTTAATCTTGACTTGAAAGTTCCATTCGTTTTGGATGTAGTGCAGAAATCACTACCAGTATCTTTTACATTTATATACATGCCAACTGTAACTGCATGACAGATATATTGGTTTCTGTAAATAGCTCCATATAACATGTAAACTATGGGAGTGTAAATAGCTCCATATAACTTGT